CAGAAGGTGAGAGTGTAACGCTTGCCCAACCCATACTTGACCTCGGTCAAGTGCCATGGAGTCGGGAAAGAAAGTCGTATTGTTAGCCTACCTATCTAGCACCCGTGGTTGTGTCCTGTTATATATCGGAGTGAGAAGTATGTAACACATAGACGCATACATACATGAACGATTATTAAAAGACCAAGACCAAGACCATGTCTACGAGAGTAGGCTAGTATCCCATTGCCAATGCCATGCCATGCTTATCTTCCAACACACCTACACCTATCTACCTAAGGTATCCTAAGGTATGAGAAGAAACAAGGGTCGGAAACTAAACCAGCCCCCGGTCATAGCAGATCTTTCTGGCAATTATAGCGTCGATGTCCATTTAGCCCCCAAGCCGAGGCTACCAAGCATATGATTATTATGCATTATACAATATACGATGAGCAAATGAGCATTATAAACATTTGATCATAAGCTAGGCAATCAGCCCAGCCTACCCCAACTACTAAAGATGACAAGTTCCTATGGCTATTAAAGAGTTTGATAAGTAATTGGCAATTGGCAATTGGCGGTGGACGATGTGTTCGATCGCATGTGCCTGATCGCTGAATTGCTACCTCGAATAATCATCTGCGCAGTCACCAGATTTACCAAGTCTCAAGTTGAGTAGCGGGGGGATGTCGCAGAAAATTTAAGAATCGGGCGAATGATACGAATGATACTGGTAAATAGGCGTGGTGGCCAAGAAGGAATGCAACGTGGACACTTAACGATGCATGTCTAAACTAGACTCTATCTCTCTCAGTAATCGCCGTGCCTGATAGGGTACGATGATACACAAATCTTACGCCATCATGTCATCAGTTGAGTCTGCAGCTGATAAACATTACGTGCCATGTGCGACCGAAAGTCAGGAAGATTTGACTGATTGAAAATTGAATGAGCGAGATGATGAACTGATGAGTGACTGAGTGAATTGGTGATACTGTATGATTGTGATTTGATCGAGTGTTGGGTGAATAGGATACTAATAAATCTGACGGGACTTGGCTGATGGCTGACTGGACTAAGTCTTGGTGATAATGTAAAGTCTGACCGTTGAAGCAAGAGCCAGAACCAAAGCTAGGCGACACAAGGTGCCGCCAACAGGTAATAATCAAACTCAATACCCCTCCCAAACTGCCTAAAAGGCTTGCCTCAGAGTACCTACAACTCTCATCCTCTAAGTAGCATTCGCAAATTATGGACTCATCCGGGTTTCGTATCGATAACTCGGGGTTAACCGTGACGAAACCAGAAGCATAGCCGAAGTATCTAGGCTTTAGCTGCGATTATGGTTGAATCGTAAACGTAAACTCGTTCGTCTCTTACGGTATATTTATGGTTGACTGGTGGTATGAGAGAATTCAATAGAAGCAGGGGCCAAGACTTTTCCTTTACGAATAATCTTACTACCCCCTGTAAAAAGCTCGGGTGAACTTCATCAAGTCCGGAATTTGTACCTACCTACTTGAGATAAGTACCTTAACTGAATTACCTCTCCTTACGGTAATTTCTTGCGGCATCATCATGTGATATTCCCTCTCTATAAATCTTGTTACCAGTAACGAATCTACTGATGACTCTTTCATGATTCGTGGCGTCACTTGCGTGCTTTTTCGGTCCTCGTTCCCTACTACAACAACGACGACTCGACGAGGATATGCCGGCTTTTTCGCGGAGCAAACCAGAGGGCAGAAGAGAAAGGAATTAATCACCGGACTTAATATTATAGGTGTTATCGTAGCACAAGGGCTCTCCTGTACAACTCTTGTCTCCTCGTGTCCTAACAGGCGCAGGACAGGATAGGTACATACACTACCGACGCCGACGTACCACAGAAACCCAACCCACAAGCTGCAACACTCTGGTGATCATTTACCGCTCTCCTTGGTAGTTTCGTATCGTGTGTGGCCTCAATTGATACATGTTCGTGATACCGTAACCGGTTGTGCTACGGTTCCATTAGAGGAAATATGTCGCGGGATAGGACTGAGGTAATGCAGAGAGCTATTTTTCTCTCGATATGCTACACTTCATTTCCCCCCACGCGGTGGGAATTTCCCGGAGTTTCAGTTCACTTTCGGTAGGTAGATGCGTACATCCATTTATAAATGCCTAAGAACATGATATAATCAGGACTCCTTCTTTTTTTTCCCCTTTTCATAGCCTACTTGGTGTTGGTACACCCAGCCAATGACAATTCGTTCCATGTTATGAGAAGTTGTAGAGCTAAGCATTATGTCGCGCCCAGTCAAGACACATTATCGGAACGGTAGATATGAGATATGATTTTCCACAAGAACCACATAGTGCTTAAGTATAAGTCGCAGAGAGCTTCCATACCTACCTACTTTCGGAAAGAGTTCACGTGTGACGATGACCATTTATATTATTTCGCTGGATGAAAATCGTACCGAGCTTACTAAAGTGGCCGTCCCAATGGTTGACGAAACTCAAGACGACTGAAGCTTTTCACCAAGATAACTGACCTACTCGCATCGAGTTCCAAAATAATGAGGGTTTTCCATCAGGATGAGCAATTTCTATATCCCCCCTTCACAATTGAAGCTTTTGCCGTGTCGTAGTCTACACATATTTACGTATATAGTTAAAACTAGAATGAGTTTGATTTTATAAGCATAGAGAGAGTGCCTGGCTAAGATAGTAAAGTGAAGTGTACGGTACGTTCTACATCGAGGACCGACCACGGGAAACGCATAAAAACGATATGCTATAGCTTATCACAAAGTGCCAGACATCAAACCCTGTGGTCGACAGTACGAGCTATTTACGCACCACAGCATACCATCTTGAAAGTGGCATGCCAGTGCAGCCCTCTACACATTAACGGGGCAGGCGCTATTGGAGAAGCTAGTCATCGGCTGGACTCTGATGATCTCTTCAGGTAATCTAGTATTATAGGCCACCGTATCTCCATTCTCTGGATTCATCGTTCCCGCGCGTTCTCGCGCGGCACATAAATCGCCATGAGGCATCAAATCAAGCATATACTTAAGAGCTAAAAGCTCAAGTAAGTGCTTCACTATCCACCCCGTCCTCCTCCCCTCCCTCTCCCACCACGCCCTCCGCGCCCGCCTCTCCCAAACCGTCCCCCTCTCTTCCCCTTCCCCCCGCGTCCACCGCCACCAACCCTCTCATACAGCCGCTCCTCCGCAAACGCCATCTCGCCAAACCGGAGATAACTAATGATCCCGCGGTCGTTCACCGCGACAATCACGTTGCGCCACGCGTGCTTGAGCCGGTGGTACACGCCGCCGACGCCTCCCTTGGCGCCCCCGCCGTCTTTCTTGGGCGCCGGCGGGTCCCACGGGGTGCAGTGCTCCAGCAGCGCCGTGAGTTCTTCGAGGGTGGGCACGTCGGACGCGCGGGCGTCGGCGACGGCGATCCGGAAGTCGGGGGTTGGAGGCTTCGTCTTGGCGACGGGGGTGCTGCTTTTCCACACGTGGAAGTGGATGCGGAAGGGGTCCTGGGGTTCGGGTGTTGTGAGCTGTGGCTGTGGTGTGGGTTTGTGGCGTGGGACGAGGGCAAGCTGCGTGAAGATCGGGTTGTAGGAGCGGTAGAAGCCTGGCTTGACGAGGGGTCCGTACGGTGGGTGGGATCGCGGCGCGGTAGGGATGAGAGAGATTAACCATTTCCATAGCGCTTGAGGGGGAGAGTCCGTAGGAGCTGGTGGTGGCAATGGCATTACCGTGGCTCGCATGATTTTATATCCCGTCCTACGGAGATTCGCATAGACCTGGTATTTTTCTAGGCTGACCTTGCCTCTCTGGCCATCCTCTCCGATGAGTAGTGCATATGCGGCCTGGAAGCTAAGCGGGACGCCGAGTTCGAAGTCTTCAAACTGCCTACCGTCTCGATCGCTGGTGCCGCTCTCGCCGTCCTTTGGTATCGGGAACACATCCTCAATACCTCGCGCCGGCCACCAGAGATCTAACGAGCCTCGCTCCACCATATACAGCGCCTCCTCCGGCAGCAACCAGGTCTTCAAATACCCAGGAGTCCCCTTATACGCCTCAAGGCCCGTAACAATGCGCCCCGTATTCTGGCTAAGCGGTCCCCTAATCTCATCCTCCACCACAACCACCCGTTCCCGCGCCCACAAACCCGCACCCTTCTCGCCCTCCTTCTCCTCCGCAAGCGGCACGTCCGCCCACTTATCCGGGAAATACCACGCCCGCGTGTGGTCCTTGGGCTTGTGCGCGCGCGTGTAGCTCAGCACGTCGAGCATAGCCTGGCGGCTGGCATCAAGCGCCCCCTGCTGCGCACGCGTGCCGTGCGACTCGAAGTCTTTCTCGCCGCGCCGTAGCGTCTTTCCTGACGGTTGGTTCTTGTTCACGAGTGCGGCGAAGAGGCGGAAGTCCTGCGTCTCTTCCGCGAGCGCGTCTTCCAGTGACGGTGCATCGTCGGCGCCGCCTTGATCCCCAGCTTTAGGCACGAGGGCCGCGGGGACGGGGTCCTCATCGTCAAAGGCCATTGCGACGGGATTCCCAAGGGAATCGATGACTTGAGGCCCGAGGCTTCAGACTGTGTAAGTCTACGTATGACCAAAAGACGCCGTCACGTGTCAAGCTCGAGGTATTGTTCCCGGATATCCTCTTCCCAAGACTAGGTTTGTCCATATAGGAGAATAAAGACAAATCGGGTATTCTGAAACTTAAACAACCAAGTTGAGCGCCTTCGTGATGCGGTGTGCTCGACGCATTTGCATCCTTTATCACAAGTAGAACTCAGACTCACCACTCACATCCATGAATGGATGTATTTGAATTTGCCGGCCCACTAAAACCTAACCTTAGCACTTAACTTTTAAGCTGCCCGCTAGTGGGTACCTATGCACGCACTGACCTGATTAGCGCGGCTCTTGCGCCTCTCTCACTGCGAAAATTTGTGCAGCGCCACCCTTAGCATATAGTGCACTATTGGAAGTAGTTCCTCTAACAATAAATGGGAGTTTGGCCGAGTGGTTAAGGCGTCGTGTTTAGGTCATTCTAACGAATACCTTGTAACATCCGCGATGGGAAACCGCGCAGGTTCGAATCCTGCAGCTCTCATCAAACTTCGATCCTTATTCACCCAGAAAGGAGAGATGGGTTTCTTTTTCCTTTTTGCTATTTTATCATCAGGCTGTTGTTGTGGATTTTTATTATCTCCCTTCGTCGCTCACCTTTTTAGTTACTGTAGGCGGAAGCACCTGGCAGATCACAAGGCGTCTTGTCGAACCGAGTGCTACGCGAACATACCCTAAGCAATAGACAACACCTTAATTCCCAGTTTTACCAAGGTAGAGAGATAGGTGACTGGACGAATTCTGTAGTATCAACAAAATTCTAGGATTGACCTATCTCTACTATTTGCTGAGTGGCTCTGACAACCTCGATACAATTCCCATTGCTGAAGAGCAATGAATGATCAACATGCACCAAGTTCTCGTGACACTGGAACGCCTTCTCGTATCTTCTCTCCAATGCTATCTGCGTCAACATCCAGAGAGCTAAAATCACGAGAGGTGCGACATTTGTACAGATAATGCAATTCCAAAGACCCAACGCTCTGTGAACCGTACCACCTCCTCAGAACAGCCTACCGACACCTAATATAAAGTACGCCTCGCTACTGTGCTAGCCATTCAGCTTGACTGAGTCTCAAAGCAGCTGAGATGTCGGTGGTAATGCATGGCCCAGGCTCGTACACGCGGGGAAATTCGAGACCATTCAGCCATATTCTCCTGCATGTTTTCCTTAAACGCCCGGAGTCCGACCAATTGGTATCCCGTTCTCCGATCTTTATTCCGCGCCTTGGGAATGATTCTAAACCGTAATGCCGCTAAGTCCGTTACGACGTTATCAACGTCCGTCAAACGCGAAGCTATTCCCATTGAATAGTGGATTCATGATCTCCGTCTATGCATCCTATCTCCGACTATATTTGGGCGACTATGATTATAAACCATGCCATGCCGATATACTGTGTACTGTCTGCATAGTCCGCCGGGAAGATTGAGGCTATGTTTTATGCCGGCGCGTCCCCGGAAAGTCACTAGGGACCAGAACGGTTCGTGAGTCTTTGCCCCCCGAGACCAAAGAGTCGTACAAGCAGCCAGCTTTAATAATCCGCGCCCCAGTCTAGCATGTTACGGTCGTAGCAGTGAAGTAAACCTCACTCGTGCCGGCCTGAGCTAATACGGAGGTAACATGTTCATGATACTTCGAGCGCAGAGGGTTATAAGCGACACGAATGTTTTCGAATGCCAAGTCCGATGGAACAGAGGTGAACCCGAAAATTCGTAAAAGCATACGCTTGTCGATTCGACTCGACGGGTCATAATACCCAATATACTACGTCACGCGAGGAATGAGATTAAGCGATCCAGCCATATCGGATTCGTAAGACAACCCTCATTCGATCAATGGTTTCTTCTGCCCTCCCACAAGGCAGAGTCCCAATGCGGCCAGGGCGTTCGGGGCATCAGCTAGGATAATAGTTCCTGGCGGCATCATTGGGTTATTCGGGTCGACCGAGGAGGCATCCTTCGCTGCTTGCTCGATAGCATCCATTTCTTCTTTACACGCTTGATGGTCCAACGGGCATATGACGATAGGTTGTCGGAGGGTAATGTCGCGAGCGGACGTCAATTGTGCCTATAATGAAAAATGTGTCAGCAATGGCCCGCATATAAACTATTTGCTGCCCTCATAGCATATGTGCGCGCATACCTTAACCGTAAGGAAGAACTCGATCTTATAGAGCGTAGACGTAGTTGTGAACGATGTGACCGCGTAATTCGGAAAAGCGGGTTGCCCCCTTCGAATAACCCCATTCGCGTCGCGCAGGTCCTTATGCGGAAAGATAATGCCCAAGTTAGTGACATAACCTCCTTCCGGTAATCTCTGCCCGATGTTACGGGTGTGCTTTTGCAGCCTATTCACTTTCTTGGTTGGCTCGTCTCCTTCCGGGTTGTATGTGATCTCCTCCTCAATCCCAATCGTGAGCTTCTGTATCATAACCTTCCTCGCCTTACTCATCCAGTCCAAATTTGGTGCCACTTTGATATATACCGTGATCGGATCCATAGGCCCATAACTCCATCTCGGAAGCGAGATACCAAGCGTCACTATGTTATCAGAAGTTGTGACTTTGTTTTCGGGTCGATTGTACATTCCAAAGGTCGACAGGGTGTCATATCGTTGCAATGGCACAGGGAATGCGTATTTATTCTGTATACTCGGCCCTTGCTGCACGGTTACCACTAGCTCGTAATATGTCTCTGCGGTTCTGCTGGGAAGTTGTAATGAAGCCGGCGGTATCCTTCTATTCGTCTCTCCGCCACCTCGTCCGAATGGGATAAATAGGACGAATGGTAAATCCATCGCAACGACGCTCTCCGCCTCTCTGCCCGTTGCGCATCGATATAGTAAGAGCTCCTTCCCGACAACATCAGTAGTATCGCGTCGAGGTGTACCGAGGTGGCGCTTAGCAACGTTTTCGGCTGCTGGATGAATTGTTTCCCTTCTCTGTAGGCATATTCGTACGAGGGAGATAGAAACCGGCGCGGACCATCCTGATGACGGCCGTATCTCAACTTTACCTTCGATGCGCGGCTACAGAGGTTTTGTTAGTCAGATCAAGTCGAGTCAGACGACTGATTATACTGGACGTAGCGAAAGGCTCTAAAGCTTCGGCGCTGGAACGGCGCCCACCCCCACATTGACGACACCGATAAATAAACACCAAGGTAGAAGCAAGTAAGTGCGAAACTTACCAACGTCGCTGAAATCCCCGGATACCCAACTAGAAAACTACTATTTGGAGGCCCGGACACCCGGACAGAAGCCTGAATTCGTTCTGCCATCTTCTTCGCGCGTTGCGCCCAGCTGGTGGTGGAAAAGACAAAGGTTCAGCGTGGCTGGGCGCATCTATTCCTTGACGGCTACGAGCCGTTTACGCCTTGCGAAATGCGATCGATCTTTAAACGGTCGAGAATGGAATATGGAAGCATTACATGTCAGATTCCAGTTGTCGCAACCGATGCTGTTGCTGTCCACACTCTAGTAGAAGTATTATTTGCGACCGAAATTGCTATCGTTTTGGAGGATGGGGTCCAGTGTTGCCTATCGAGGAAATCGAGTGTGGAGGGTTGCAGAAAGCGGGATGCAGGAATCGGTAAAGAAAGCGGTGCGTGGTTGCTGATGGCGACGGGTGGCTGAGGTAAGGGTAGGTAAGGTAAGGGTAGGGACGCGGAGTTCGAGTTTGATGGCAGGGTCACAGCCCGACGGGTTTGTTTGACAAAGGTCAAGTCGATCCGATAGATGATAACGACAATATTCGCCAAGAACAAGCCGCGTACTATATCTATATAGTATAGAGGTATAGAAGGTGGGTATCGCCTGAGTTCGAAAGGTTGAAGTTGGTAGGTTTGCAAGCTCCGTAGCTCAGTTCGCAGGACTTAAACCTAGGTTCAAATGTTAGGTAACTTATGTAACCACTAACACATTGATTTGATAAATTGGCAGCCGAACAGATCCCGGCTTCCAACTTGGAGGAGGGGGGGAGTGAGTTAAGGTTCTAGGCGACATGCAAAGGTGAAGCCGGGGTTTTGGTTTAACATTCAATATTGGAATTGGGACAATTTTTTTCTTTTCTTTCTTTGAAGGGAACAATGATAAATAGCACGGTGTTGGATTTCAACTTGTCCCAACCCCACAAGTTAACTATATGCGAACAAGCCGGGATATATTTTTCTTTTCTTTCCTGTGCTGTCATTAGATTTTGGGTAACAAGGTGGGAGAGAACGGCTCCCAAAGCTGGGAACAGTAAAAAAAGGTGAGAAATCTGACAGATACCACCTGCCCGAAAGTTAGAAGCTGAATGGGGAAATTGGCAGCTGTAAGAAGCACGAGGGTTTGGATTTAGGAAACTTCCCATCTGAATTGAAAGCCAATGGACGGCGGTTCCGAATCGGGCGGTTAAGCATTTGGTGGAGGCAGTGTGATAGGTCAGGGGGTCAGGCACTAGCCGTACTGTACTTGCCAACCTACAGCGAAAAGACACTGTAGGTACCTATTAGGGCAACCTATATTGCCATTATCCACTAACCTTTACCCTGCTAATCGTTGATGGACACCATTTTCTGCAGCACATACGAAAATGAGACAGGTGAATATGATAAATTACATATCCACGGTCCACTGATCGTACGAATCAGATCTCAACATCTCCAGTTACCGTTGATTACACTTTAGTCCTACATATAAAGAGATTTTGTTCCTCATACCCAACCCATACTTTGCAGACATAAGGCACAAAACATGTCTCTAAAGTTTGGAATATATTCGTATGTCTATCCATGACGACACTGACTAAAATACCTGCACAGCAGATATAATGCTTATTAGGTACGGCTATGGTACTCAAAGGTTACTCGACAGCTACACTTTAGATTAACGTCACGTTGTCGTACGTTATTCTTATTATACCAGGTTAATCCGTCATCATAACGACGTGTGAACAACGCCTACACAGAAACCGCCAACAGTTGAGCCTTTGCCCTACTCGCAACACAACCCCGGGGTTTTGTGATTTACTGTGTATAGATAGATATAACTTAGTAATGTATAATAAAACAGAAAAGGGAAAAGGGGCATTCGGACAGGTCCCCATGCATGGTCACACGTGGAGTGCAACTCCGGATGGTGAGACAGATTGCCCTTTTGCATGGGAAGCCCTTTCGGGTGGAAATGCGTACCTTCAAGTGGCCCAAGTATTCCGTATGTACGGAAGGGTTCTCTAGTTTGGGGGCCGAGTAGGAGCCGAAACCTGGGAACCTGGATGAGGCTGACGATTTTACATACTATACGGTACATGTATGTATGTAGAGACTAACCCTGCTAGTCGCCGTATGCCTACCAAATGCTACTAGTTACTATGTATCTCCAAGTTCGCTACTTATTATGAATACCTCACTGCAAGAACAATAGAAGTGACAACATGTCCTTAGGCATTATGCCTAACTTATTTCAAGGTTAATTTCTGACAGACAAGACTGAGAGTATAC